GAATTCGTACCACACCATTCACAATAGTCACAATGGATGTGTACATATATATGCAATGGAAATGGATTCTATTTTGATTATTTTAAATGTACAAAAATTTTAATCTAGTTTCACCTATTTAATTTTTATAAAGAGGAAAAAAAAAACACACGAAATTTTCACATAATATATCGTGTAAAAATTTAAAATCCATTCTCGTATCACAATAGACATTACAAGATTCCTTAATAGCCCAAATTAAACTCGCTCATAACTTAAGTTATACGTTAAGAGTGAACTAAAATTAACAAGTAGGTATAACACATTAAAAATATCAAAAGAAATTATCACATTGAAATTAATTTTTCAAATGCCGAGTAATTATTAAACCCAATATTAAATCCAACTTCAATATGCAATTTTGATTATCTTTTAAGCAAACTATAATTGATTCCCATTAGGCACATGATAATCTACTTATCTCACATTTGGTCATTCATAACCGTATCTTATTTTATATTTAACTTAGAATGTTAATGCTGATCCACAATTATGAGGCATTAATTTGTATATTACCTGAACATGTTTAGGCCTATGCTTTTGTATAATTGTATATGAAGCATATATAATAACTGGACTTCATCAAATGTCCACAACTGGATCTTCTTTGTGATGTTTAAGTATCATTAAAAATTTTAATTTATAAATAAAACGTGATGAACAAATGTTGAGAGTCCTATAATTCGTAAATTTAATAGCTTTAACACGACTTATTATTTGTGTAAAAGTTAAAACTCATTGTATATATTATTAAAAATTAATTGTCAAATAAATGTATCACAGTACTCGTAAATATTCATGTAAAATCCTTGCTATTCGTTTTTGTATTAGAGCATAAGTGTTTTAATTATCGATCGCATCTTGTGAATCAAGTTTTGCTTAGAGCATCTCCGATGCTAAGTTCTTATCTAGTTCTTAAGTTTAAGCTCTCATTACTTATAAGAAACCTGCATTGGAGTATGCTGACATGGCAGGTTAAATTGTTAAAATTTAAGCACCATTACTTATATAAGAGACGGTTGCTTAAGAATAAAAAAATAATTTAATATTTCCTTTCTTTACTGATGCCAACAATTATAATAATTAAATTTTTTAAAATTTATTAAAAATGAAGTATGAGTAATTAAAAAGTGGAGGTGCTTATAAGCAACTTTTATTGGAGTAAAAATTATAAAAATGTAATATAAGTTACTTATGAGTGACATGGCAATGTGGGATCCACTTAAAGTGGATGAGAATTGCTTATAAACAACTCACATTGTAGATGCTCTCAGATAGCAAGAAAAAAATTAAGAAAATAAATTAATTTTCTCACAAATTAAAATTAGTTTGTGGATGATTTTTTTACATCAGTTTATGAATAAGTTCACTAGCAAAAATTAGCTCATTTAATTTCTCTAGAAAATAACTTTAACTTCAGTTTAAATTATTTTTAATTTGTAAAAAAGTTCAATTCATTTATTTTCTTATTTTCTCCTTTTATAAATGATTAGTGAGAAGTTTTATCCCATAAATTAATAATATTAAAAATAATAACTTTCATACACAAAATCATTTTTTTATATTTTAGTAATTTAAGGGAATTAAGTGTTTAAAATAATTAAGAAGGTTAGAGAAATAATTTAAGAGATTGACCTGGTGCTGCTACATCAATTCCAGATATTAAAATTACTTTAGGACAAAACTACATCAACTATATGGTTATAACAAAAATTAAAAATAAGTAAAATGAAAAAAGACAGACACGGAGTTGTAGTGGTAAATTTTCTTTTTCTGTTTAACATAACAAAAAAAAATCATATTTTTTTTAGGGGAACAAAAAAATCATTTAAACTTTAAGAAGATAACTTGTTCCTGAAATGGCCATATTTTCCCGCAAAATGTATATAACAAAATATAGATTTGACCCTTTAGAGGGTTATTGCTTTGATAAACTCTTCTAATGATATTTTTTTATGGGTAACTCTTCTTCTAATGATATACAATACATTATACATGAATAAGTTATAATCTTAAAAATAATCTTTCTAACCTCATTATTGTCGCAATCTATTTAATTAATTAAAAAATAATCTTCAAAACATTTTTTAAATTCCGGTTAAATTTAGTCAAATTCTTAAAACAGTTACATATATTTCTTTTCAGAAGTACCTCTTTTCACTCCCACACGTCTATCTTCACTCCTATTAGTCCTACTCAAATATTTTTTCAGTCTTTGTTAATCAAATTAATTGTTGAGAAGAATATACAAAATTTAATAAAACGTTGTCTATAACAAAATATATATATATAGAGGAGGGTTCAAACGACACCGGTGTAACTTTTATTAAGTGTTACACCGCTCAATAACTTTATATTAAATATGAATTTTGTAAATCCAACCGTTAGATGGAAAGTTCATATCTCTTAGATCATATGTGTTAAATTTTGTTAAAATTGAACAACAACTTGAAGGTAATCAAAGTGTTCATATTTTAGTATATTTTGAAATGTATATATTACGTCAATTTTGTTTTATGAGAATGAAATATCAAATTATCTTAGATTAATATAAAATTTGATATATATGATCTAAGAGATATGAACTTTCAATCTAACAGTTGGATTTACAAAATTCACATTTAATATAAAGTTCTTGAGCGGTGTAACACTTAGTTAAAGTTAGACAGGTGTCATTTGAACCCTCCTCATATATATATATATATATATATATATATATATATATATTTATACCCTTTTCATTATCACTTTTTGATATCTTATATTATAGGGAAAAGATTAAAAAATAATAAGTATTAACTTTGTTAATAATAATCTACAAATGTTAAAAATCGAATAAACTCAAACAGAAAATCGAAAACCAATCCAAAAGCATATAATTATTCACTTTGTTAATAATACTTATTCACTTATACATAAATACTTTTTTTTTCACAAATGCTTACTATAAGTATAAAATATTGAGAGAAAAAAATTTATAAAGCGTATGGTTCAGTTTAGAAAAAATATTTTATAAATTTATAAGCTAATAATTCAATTCAACTCTTTCAATGTATATTATAATATATTTGATTTAAAAAAAATATTTTATAAAATTATAAGTTCGTAAACTAAATTTTAAAATGAAAAATTATGAATCATTTATAACATTTGAAAATAATTTTATTTTAAGTGGTAAAAAATATATGAAAAAGTATCTAATATTATAATTTAAATTGTATTAAAGAAATTTTTTCACTAAAATAACAAAATAGAAATTAGTGTTAAACATATTGAATGGCCAAAAAATATTTGTACTTTTAATTTTATTTTTATATAAGAGTCTAGAAATAAGTTCATGAATACTATTGATATCTATCAAAATGGTAACAATAAAAGTGATAATAAATACATAATACTATTACATATTTTTAATTGATTTTAATAACAAAGCTTTAAAACAAAAAAAAACGGAATGAAACTAAAGTGCAAAAAATTGATTTGATTTGATTTAAATTTTATAATATATTTAAAATCGAATCACTATTAATTTTTCTATTTTATTTAAATAATTTTAAAGACAAAAATTGAACTAAATCGTCGCTACAAACACCTTATAATAATAATAATAATCTTTCATTTTAATAACAAAAATTGAACTAAATATCTTTCATTTTTTCAACGATAGTTAATAATAATAATAATAACAATAATAATAATAATAATAATAATAATAATAATAATAATAATAATAACAGACACATTGGACTGGTAATAGATAATTTATACTTATCTATTGATTGATCCCTCACCAATCGGTAATTATATAGAAAATTTCTCGTTAATTAAGTTGCATTTTTTTTAGTGAAAAAAAAAACGAGTTGCATACCTAATAATAATCAGAACTCGTGTTTTAAGAACAAAGATGGTATAGAGAATGATTGGGTCATTGTGAGAATGGCCTCCTTCCAATTTCATAAGCAAATTTTAAATAATTATAAAATGATTGCATAATAAAACAAACGGATGAATTAGAGAACTTTTTTAAGATATGTTGAATGAAAATAATTCATTAATTTATTTAGATATATTAAAAATTTAATCTAACTTATTTATTTAAAGATTTATTTTTTTTACGAATGGATATCTAATTCATTTATAAAAATAATATTTTAAAAATTAAATAATTTTTATTTTTAAAATATTTTATTTTTATTTCCTTTCTTTATAAGTTATTACATATGCAATTTTTTAAAATTTATAAAAAAATATTTTTATATCAAAATAACAATCAATAAACATTTCATTATAATTCAATGCATTTTAAAAAATTAGTGGATGAATTATTAACCATCCATAAAATTAAATAGATAAATTAAATTTAATATATTATTTATTTTTATTGTGATGGATGAATTGTTCAAATTTATTTATGAATGGATTGAATACCCACAAACTCACGTGCACAACTTCTCGACATACAATTGTATTTTCTAATAGCTGTGCCATTTTAGACATAATGATACTTCAAAGTTCAAAGTTACCAATTTATCAATTTTGTTCTTTCTACACCTCTAAAGACGAGGACATTATAACGGAAAGTTAGGAACGAAAATTATACGAAACCATAACACCTAGAATAGAAATGAGTCCTCAACAAGAAAAGGCTTACCGTCACACCTATAAAAATGCATGGTGGATCCTTAAACAGTTGTCAAATTGAATAATTTTATAATTCCAGAGAGAAATAAATAAATAATATATTGTACATAAAACGTGTTGCTTTCAGGAGACTACGTTCTATGCAAGTTAAAAGCATGTCAGCATTCTTGGAAGGTAAGCACTTGAAAGCTAAGCTACCTTCAAATCGTTAGGTACGTAAGTTGCAGCTTCTACATCTTGAGATAGAGTAGCCACCCCAACTCTGAGACCACAATATATAACCATTAAGAAGCCCCCTAAAACATGCAAGCTTTATTTACTAACCATATCAAGCATTCTTATTGATCAAAAATTGATGTTTTCCTTGCCAATGCGTATAATGTTGGGACAGTGCTTCATTTAAGTCTCATACTAGTCATCAATTTGACTTGCATTGTAATTGAAAAGTATGTATTAATATTACTGTCAACTTCAACCATTCAATAAAAATTAAACAACTTACATTAATGATTGGTTAAGCTAGAGGGGTCCCTTTAGTAATATGTATTTAGGAATGTACTCTGTACAATACTCAGATCCCAACCAACCTTGATGAAAAGAATGTGAAACTTGATGAAAGTTTTCAGTTATGATTGGATACTTGGGGAGACTTCATCTGATGCTGACTTGTCTTTTGTCTTTGATGGTTCTTGAGCTTTCTGTAGAGCGGCTTTATTTGGAACCATAACTATGAATATGTTTCTGTCACGAAAGCTTTTAGTCTCTTCTGTTGCAATCTGCACATCATCCAAGTGTGGTTTGGATGCAAAATTCAAATACTTAAGACTTAAATAAGCTTCTCCATAAATACTTTTTAGAAAAACAAAATAAGAAGAAAAAATAAAATAAAATTTTTCATAAATTAAAATTAACTTATGCATGAACTAATTTGTAAAAGTTTTCTTTTATTAATTTTTCTAAAATTTTATTTTTAACTCGCATATGAATTAATTTTAGTTTATAAAGAAAATTATTTTTATTTTCCTTCTTATGTTTTAGAAGTACTTCCAAGAAGAAAGCTTATCTAAACAGACCCTTTGTAAAATGAAATGTTTTCCGTGAAAACTAAAACAGAGAAAAGAATGTTAAGGGCTTGTTTAGATTGAGAAAATATTTTCTGTTTTCCTTTCTTATTTTTACAAATAATTACAAAATTATGATATTATTTTATTTTTAGAAGATTTTTATAAGAAACATAGCAAATAAGCTCACAAAAAAAATGTTTTTACTCTTTCCCAAAC